ATTTTACGGAGACTTGCCACGGTCTCCAACCCTCCTCCTTTCTCATCCGGGCTTGGGACCGGCCATGGCTGAGTTATAATAATAAATGCATTATCTATTTTGAATTATGGCAAAAAATTTAGAAACCGATTGACGAATGCTTTTTGGAAGAAGATCCGCAGAGATCTTGCATCCAATGGTGGTAAACCGCCTGATGGAATGACCAAGATTTATGTGTTGTGTATTATCACGTACCCCTGTTGGGATGACGACACTAATTGGAACTTGAATCGTTGCTTTGAATTATCATTCGCATTGCTCAAAGGCAATTTTGTTTTATTTCGTGATGCAGCGCAAGGAGAAAAAACTAATAATGTACAAGGCTAAGTATTTCATCGCTAATGATGCCTCAAACGAAATCATGCTGAGGCAAACGTGTGCCCCTTCCTGCATGTTCAATTTGCTGCTGGTTGGTTCTGCTATTGCGGTTTTATTTATCGTCCAGGCTCCTGTTTCCCCTATTTCGGATTACGTTGAGGAGGTGCAAGTAGATAACACGGCTGTTAACTACGCACTTTCTTCTATCGTCACTCCGTTTATACAGGCAATATTTTTCCCTATCCTGTGTTATCACTTTCTTTCAGTTTTTTCGAAGCAGGCGTCGCCACAAGCGCAATTAAGATGTTATACTGTCCCAGAAGCATCCAGTTGTGATAGAATCGATTTCTCGTACAGAAGATACCATAATTTACGCGTAAAGCGGCACATTGTCCTGCTGCTGCATATGCTGATGAATCATTGTATCCTTTCTTTGAAATGTTTTGGTATGAAATCCCAAAATTGATAGGTCTGCTATAAAAGTTTCCCGATGTGTAATCAGTTTGGTAATCAGTGTTTCTGTTCAGCTCCAGGTCTCCCCGTTGAAAGTACTCGAGGAAAATGTTTTTGGTAGCCGTTTCCTGCTACTCATTGATCAGCTGATTATTTTGTTTCTGTACGTTTCAAGCAAATCTTAACATTTCTAAGGTACTACACATAAATAGAAAATTGGAATCATACATAATATCCTTGTCTGTTTCTCACATAAGAAATTATGAAAATATTATTGTCTTGCATTTTACTGCAATATTGCTGTTATGTATAATAATTTGTTTTACTATGCGGCTTTCTTGCTCATAGATTCTTGGATTACCATTTAAGTATGTCATGACTCCATGGCACTTGAGTACATGTAGTGCATAAATTCACGTATATAATTCATTAGCAATAGTTGCATTTATTCGCCATGATATGTGCATTATTCTCCAGCTTGATACTCCTTACATGTTGCTACCGAACGTCAAAAATATCGGTTTGTATGTCAGTGGATGAGCTAATGATCTTGTAACTCTGAGAAAGATTGTTATGTCACATAGAACTTAACAGAGCAGATTATTTTTCAACAACAGGGCCATTGTATCTTGAATGAAAGCAAGAATGATGCTTCATCGTTTGTAAAAATTGAAAAAATCAGTTTAACGTAGCGAAATAAAAAATTTTAACGTGAAAAGTGGTATTGTTCTCTATACGGATGCAAGATACAGCTAATGACGGATTGCCCAACAACCTCAGATACGTAAGTTAGCAAGGAAATCATAAAGTGGTGCGAAAAATGAACAGTGAAAACTGTAACGGCGGTGTGTAAGCCGATCTCACGATTTTTGACGAATGACTAGGTTGGTTGAAATAAATTGCGTAAATATAACGACTGCGCTGCGAAATTGGGAATGTACTTTGCCACGAAGTGAACACGATAAAATCTCATAAGATGCTATACTTGTTTTCAAAGTATGGAGGCGAAGTGCAATTCTTTTCAAATAAAATCAGCAACATCTTGATATTGTTCATTAAAACATTATGATCATTTATTGATTGATGTACGAGATATATCTTGTGCTGATTTTCGGTTATCTTTCAGGTGCTTTAAGGTAAGGCGAATCACAGCCAAATGATGCATTCAGATCGGAGAACACTGCTAAATATTTCATCTTGCTTTCACGACTATAAACATCATCATACAATTAACAGGTACACTACTTGATACCGGTTTCTCAGCAAGTGTTTTTCAATTATGACTTATTTCGATCATCACGAAGCTAAAATGCTGGTTAAAGCAAGTGCTATCACAACGGGTTCTCATATCGAACAGCGTGGCTGTCTCATAATGACATTCTGCTATTGTCACAGAGGAATACCATGATGCATTAATTATTTGCCAGTCAGTGATTTGCCATTCGTTGCTCAGCAGCCGGTCACGCAACTCATTCGTATGAGTTCTTCTCTCAATTGAATGAGCTATCACAGTAAGAATACTTTGTGCTGCCCATGCGACTTTAACTCGGTTCCAAATATTTAGAGCAAAGTACTCTTTCCCGTGATCGAACTAGCAGCAACTTTTGACGATAAATCAATATAAATTCTCACATATAAGTCTGAAAACTAACTTAAAACAATAGTTCGAATGATTCATGCTTTCGGCACGAAATGCAACAGACGTTCAATACTTATAGGTTTCACTGCACATGAGACAACATCGTCAATGCTGGACTGAAAAAAAAACGACTGTCTGAACAAAGCATAATGTTCGCATCAAAACGAATAGTATCTTTGCCACTTTGACCCAATTTTGCGCATACCCGACATCCATATGAAAGAGCACTTTAATGCGGTCCGCCTTGGACATACTGACAATTTAAGTATTATCCAGCATGGGATTAGTAAAGGGCATTCTTTCAGTGAGACAATCGTGTCTGTTATGGACAAAGACTAATCTAAATTAAGTGTGCTGATAAAGTAATTCATGCATATACTAGCAATGAAAAAATCGAATAGGAAAACACATCTTCTGTCATTATCAGTGAAAGCTGAGGAAACTCGTAAAATTTGGAAGAAATGACAAAGATCTGATTATTTTGATGTGAAGATCATGCTCTGATCAGATGATTAACAATGTGTTGACTCTATGTGATGAGCTAATTAGAAAACTTGCATCGTTCTCCTGTTGGACATAAATGCCTTCAAGCAGTCATTCTCACCCAGTCCAGCAATGATGATGCTGCGGTCTGTGCAGGAAAAAGCGTTGGAATTAAATTGCTTATCTGCTGTATTTGGTGCCCCGAACCATGAATCATTCATAGATTTATGCATATAAATCCGAGACCAGAATCAGGAACCTGAAGGATCATTTAACCTAAAACCAAGTCTAGAATTTGCATGATCGGGTGATTCTGTGTTATCAACGCGAGGAAAAGACTTTTAGTTTTCTGCCGTTGTTCTAATTCTTCGAAACATTGTCAATCGTAACTTTGTCCTTCGCAACGTTATGTCGACGATTGCCTATCTCAGCATAGCGGTTGTGGTCGCCCTACAAAGGTATGGTCTTAACCTCCTGCTTATAGCTGTCATACCTGCCTTGTGCATTGGTAAGATAGACTTTGCCGTTGACTTTATCGCTGACCAGGTGTTGTCTTGTGTAGACTGTGTGATACAGCTTCAATGTGGCTCGCAGCTGATAGGTGAGAGGCATCCATTACATCTGACGTTTAAATGTGCAGAATTTTTGTTTTTAGATAGCAGAAGCAATGTTAAAGCCACTCAACGCACAGTGAGGTTTACGACAGGTTGATATTACCTTGGGACGCGTGGAACAGTGTCGAACCTGTTTGATTCGATTTTCACAGGAAGCGGTTTCGAATGAAAAAACGGATTATTTCTGATTTAACTGCGAACTCTATCGACAATTTATCTCATATTGTTTCACTGCAACAAGATGAGAAAAGAATAGGAAGTTACTTTTCTGTGAATAGTAATCTGTTTTGGCTATATCAGAATGGGCGAGAGAAACTGTCATACTGAAAAATGCAAGGCATCACGTGGCTGCTTTTCATTTTGAATAACCTGATAACTGCATATTTAATGAGATAATTCAGTGAGAGCGTAACCTCTGTTGTTGTCTACTATCTAGGATGCTGAAGGATCTCCGGGATCAGAAACATTTCATTGTTCAAAGATGCTATTTGCGACACTGCAGGCCATGAGATGGTTTACAATTATGTAACATATTGCATTCTATGGAAATATTGTCGTTGCTAATGTCAAAACTTTTGTTTCATGTACCTTCTTATTCCATGTATCTTTGCACGAGTATCCCCAGCAATTTAGAGTTTTATGTACAGGTCTTTATATTATTTTAATCTACTGCCATATCTATGTTTATCCAATCAATAAGATTTATTTCTTATCGGTAATTGAAAGGATGACTCTTCGTTCATTCCGTTCTATCACTTGACTTCCAGGCTTTAATTTCTTATGTGTTTTAAATTATTTAAACATCAAGCTACAGAAAAGATGAAATTGAATTTTTTCATAGTTGATAATCAAGTAGCATCAACATTCAACTTCTGGCACTAGCAGTCAAATCTTGTCCCGCGCGACGATGTTTTCACTGTAGAGAGTGGTGCTTCGCGGTCGAGCGTTTCGTAGTCGGGAATGGCAGCCAAGAAGTGCGCCAGAGCCGAATGTGGCAAGACCGTCTACCCGATGGAGGAGCTGAAGTGCTTGGACCAGGTTCTGTGAACATTTTGTTATTTTTCGTGATTTTCTATGTTTCGAGTTCACAAATTTCTATATTTCTCTAGCCATCGACTGAACTTTAGGTCTGGCATAAGCAGTGTTTCCGATGTACAGTTTGTAACATGGTGCTGACGATGAAAAACTACAAGGGTTATAACAAGATGCCTTATTGCGAAGCGTAAGTTTGATCTGTCAAGTGTGAGGAAGTGACCATTGATCCCCAAAACCGGAAATATTGTTGTTTTCAGGCATTATCCTCAAACGAAGGCGACGGTGATCGTCGACACGCCGGAGATGAAACGTTTGGCGGAAAACACTCGAAACCAAAGTCTGGTAAGTAGGCATTTTTACTGCATGACGTTTTGCGTGCGATGGCTGTTTGCTCATCAAATGCGCAGCAGCTGCTTTGTTCCTCGCCTGGTCGGTTAACTCAGGCATTTAATTGCAGTGCTTCTTCTTCTTCTTCGTCGTCACTTCGCCTTGCTGCGTGTCTGTTTCTTGGCACAGCCACTGTGTTTATGCAACGCGTTGTCCTGGCTTCCATTCCTCATCATCCGCTTTGCAACTGCCTGCGCTAGCGCTGCCGCCTCCGCCGGAGTGTCTGCCTCATCGCTTGTCATTTTACAGACACCTTCACCACCTCACGTGATTTGTTAGTTGATCCGCTGCTCATCTTTTGCTTTCAGTCCCACTCTGTTCGATTTAAATCTCACTTCCGTTCCGTTCCGTTTCGTGATTCTTCCGCACGCGTTCTTGTTTTTGGCCTAAACCCTGGCGCGTAACTTATTCAAGATCAAACTTTGCGGCACGTTGCGTCGCCATCCAATCGCTAGTAATTACGTGAGGTGAAGAGTCACTGGAACAGGTCATGACAATTGTGTTTGAGCACTTATGGTGCTGAACGCATTTGCCTCGTTTTATTCGATATTCAGCAGGCAGCATAATAATATTCATCCTCAACCGTCATTAAGTCCAGAAGTTTTAGGTTCGTTTTGCCAAACGTTTGTTAGGTTGAGAACAAAGAAACAAAATTTTTTATATTATGCCGGTCGTCGATTCTTCAAAAAGCATAACGTAATCTTCATAGCGTTTTCGACCGCATGAACACCTGTCATCGTCTATAATGCCAATACGTATGACCAATTCTCGTTTTGTATTTGAACATTGGGATTCGCCACAACACTCCAACGTTAAACATTTTATCAAAAGTATTGTTTGACAGGGGTGAAGCAGTCAGCCATAATCGCGGCGGGAGCGGTGACCTTTCATGCGACATTGTTTATTGGACGTCCAAAATGCGTGACATACTTGAAACACAGATGAATGAACGAACAGATGAATAAACGATGCACTCGTTTATCACTCCACCCCAACGCGCTGCCGACTTATGTCGATTCCACTCCATTCCTCGATGATGATGGTCCCCTCTTATTACGTCATTTTTTCTTACGTCACTTCTGTTCGGTAAACGAATCAGACTTCAGGCGACCAATCATTTTTCTCTCTGCTAATTCAGACCGTAGTTAGACGGATCGTGGACAGAATCTTTCAACGTCGTAGGTGTTACATGAAACATCGTCGTCAAAAAACGTCAAATTGACTTTTTCTAAAAAATACATTGCATAGCCTTGAAACACTACGTATTTCTTGTGCTGTTTTCGTTTCATTAACGCAGATCACTGTTGCTTAGTCTCAGTGCCTATGTTCATCTATTTAATGTTAGTATCGTCACAAGCTTCGTATATATAGAACTTTTAGTTTGTCATCCCATTTGAACCGAGATCGTACAGTTGGGTACAAATCCCTCACTGCTAAAGTTCGTCATTCATCCGTAAGTCGTGTGATGTAGTCCGACTCAAGTTCTAGTCTGCTTTTGCTTGTGATTTCCATTTCTTTCTATCTTGGCAAATGGTTTTGCATAATATCTACGCTTGCCAAGCGTCTTGAACACAGCGTTTGTTTTTCCTTCACCTCAGCCGAATCGGTTGGTTCCATGTGACGGCACTGTGATGCTTGACCGGAGCGATGCCTCATCTCGTTGAGGACTGTGCAGAATTAATTACTCTTACCGCTGTTTACTTGAGGAAGCCTACGAGGTTTCTTTGTATTTCACATTTAAATTACAGATACCGGAATTACACCACACAAACCGTATAGTTTCTTACTTTACACCGATACTGCGATAGTGTAAGATAAACGGTAGTCATTAACCGGGTTATCGAAGCACGGAAGGGCGCAGCAATATTGTGGTATAACTTGGTGTAGAGCCTTCTATCCGTTTTAAACTATCTTGTGTACCGGTGTAGAATAAAAAACTAACCTTCTTCCACGGTGTAAATTCGGTTTCACTAATTTGAATGTAATATTTATCGGCAGAATTCGAAAACAGCCATTCTTGGTGCCTATCGCACAACATTAGGGTCATGTTTTTTTCCTATTTTGTATTAACTATATTTTGTTTTCTTCATTCGGAGGAGTTATATGCAGTGCAAAAAGCTGACTGCTGGTCGATAAAGCAACTTAATTTTTTTTTTCGCAAAGCTCTTCTTCTGAATCTGTCCAGTATTAATATAAATTGGCACTTCGTCCGTAAAAACAATTACAGTTATGTATGAAAATTCAGACCATGAGGGTCAAATATATCTTAGGGTAAGCCCGTTTTCCCAGTACGGTCTGCAGAAAATATTGTAGAGAAAAAAACTGTCTACACTCTCTAAAAAGGCACATGTGCAAACAGTGAAAGATAGACTAGCGAAGTTTCATCATGGCATTTTCTACTCCTTTCTTGCAGTGTTCACTTTTAAAAGTCCATCGATGCAACTTTCATTACCTCTAACTTGATTCGCAACAAAAGCTTTAAAAAGTTTCACATTTTTGTGTTTCATTATTCATGTCTTTAAAGCCACATGACAGACTGCCAAAATTCAGCGTTAAGGCCAAATTAGTTCAAACCTATTTGGAACTCGGACGAATGAGAAGGACCACTTCATTCAGGTCAGGAGAAGAGCATTTTATCAAACATTGCTGTATACTATATTACGAAAAACAAAGAAATATATACACGGAAGACTAACGGCAGGTGAGATTATTTTATATTATACAAGCAACTGTTATAACGTGGAACCATAAAACTGTATGATTGCTTGTAAAGCGTTGTTCAAGAACAGGCAGGTAGTTCACCTGGCTACGGATTGCATGATGCAGCGATAAGGCGTACTGAAACTTGGAGTACAGAGAATGACGGCTGATTCTGTTCGCTGAATCATATACTAATGCCAAGTCAGATATTTCTCTAAGTTTTTCATCTCAGCAAGTCTTCATC